GATGACAGACGCTCTACATCTGGTTCTACCATTTTTCTGGGTCCTAACTTGATATCTTGGTGGTCTTGTAAGCAACAAGTTACTGTTCGGTCAAGTATAGAAGCTGAGTACATGTCTATTTCTCAAACAACTACTGAGTTGACTTGGATTCAAGCTTTGTTAAAAGAATTGCATCTCCCTTTCTCTCCTCCTACCTTGTTAAGTGACAACAAGAGTGGTGTTGTTATTGCTCATAATCCTATTTTTCATAGTCGTCCTAAACACATGGAAATTGATGTGTTTTTTGTTCGTGAGAAGGTGTTAGTTAAACAATTACACATTCAACATGTTCCTGCCTTGGATCAATGGGCTGATATCTTAACCAAGCCTCTGTTTCCTTCCAGATTTAATGTTCTTAAAAACAAACTTCATGTATAAGATTTTTCCTCTAACAAATCTTCTACATAAGTTTGAGGGGATATTGGTGTACTTAATATGTATAAATATATAAAAATATTTTTTTATCATTAATTTATTAGAATAATTAATGAGATGTACAGCTGTATCTTCCTTATATATAAGGAATACATGTATTTTATTGAATATTATTAAGAATAACAAACTTTTTTATTTTTAATTCTATTTTTATTTTTCTGATAATCACCACGATTTTTAAGTCCAAGATTCATTTTTAGAATTGAGATTGTCCTCTGATATAGCAAAACCAGGTTTTAGGTGTTCAAAGCAAATCACCCAAACCATAAAGAAGATAAATACGAGCATACAGTAAATGCAGTTTTAACAGTTTTTAAGATTGCCATCATGTATTTTCTTATCCATGAAAACCCTCATAATGTGGGTAAAGTCATCCCATGGGTCATAAATCTAATGCAATGAGTTATCCTGTTTCAATCACCCAGTAAAGGTGGCAAAAGGAGAATTTTTGAAATACTTTTTCAATCCTGCTTATTTTTTAAATTAACCCTATCATTACATAGAAAAAAAGCTGAATTAAACTTTATACTTTTTAAAAATATGTTATGCATTTCTTAATTAAAAATAAAAGGGGAGAGAATTAGGGATTTAAATTTCAAGGGCACGTGAATTTGTGAGACCATGAATCACGTGAAACAGTAATCACTATGCTCATTTCAATGGGTAGGTGTGTGCGCACTAGGGATGACAATTAAATCCGCACTCGTGGGATTGACCCATCTCCGTCCTCGAGTTGACTGTAAAACCCGAGTTGACTGGCCGGGTCGGGTCGGGTTTCTCCGCTTTAAAAGTCGGGCGGGGCGGGATGGGTAATGCAATCCCCACCCCGACCCCGTCCTCATCCCCGCCTCGACTTTATATTTAAATTTAAATTTTAAAATATTAATATTTTAAAAGTATTTCATTTTCTTTTTCTATTACATATAAGGTTATTTTTTTATATTTCACCAATTTTTATTTTTCTTCTACCCACTTTTTAATTTTTTTTATCTTTTTCAATCTTTTATATCAATTAATTTATTATATTATTCTCTCCCTTATCTTTCAGCTTTTTCACATTTTCTTAGTCTCTCCCATCAATTTGTTTTCTTTTTCAATCTTTTCAACCAATTTGATGAACACAAAGTTAATCTTTTTTCTTTATCTTTTTCTAAATATTTTACATCAATCTTAGTAGTAACTAATATTAGTTTATTTATAATTTATATTTATTATGTCATATTTTTTTATCTTATTATGCTTATTTATCATATATCAAATTTTATCTTAATAAAATAATTGCATTTTAAAGGATTAAAAGAAATTAATAACTTAAACTTTTATTACTTCAAACTAATTAAATAAGAATTAACTTATTAAATATTTTCTTATAAACTATATATTGACAACTTGAAAATGAATTAACTTATATGTATAATTAAATATTTGAATACAGATATTATAATAATAATGTTATAAATATTCAAATATTTGAATACAGATGTTATAATAATAATAATAATGTTATAAATATTAGTATATATATATATATATAAATAAAAAATAATTAAATATTTCTTTTACATATATATTTTAATATAAATATAATAAATTAAAATGTATATTTAATTAATAATAACTACAAATTATAAATATTTATTTATATAGAAAAATACACAAGAAAATTAATTTATTATAAATATAATTATCTTTTTAAAAATAATATAAATCGGGACTGGCGTGCGGAACCCGAAACCCAACTGGGACGGGAATGGGGACTTAATTCCTAACCCCGTGGGATCGGGCGGGACTGGGATGGTTAAAAGTCGGGGCGGGACTGGAGAGACAAAACCCGCCCCGCCCGCCCCGTTGCCATGCCTAGTGCGCACCTGTGGTATGTGGTGCATAAATTAAGGTAGAAATAAAATAGATTTTTGAGGTAATAAATATGAATAAAAAATGACAATGAATAAAAAAAAAGAGAGTTTTAAGGTATTGTGGTATTTGTAATATTGTTTTTGTTAATATATCTAGACCTATATTCTTTAAGTACTTTATTTTCTGTATATTCTCTTTAGTTAAATAAAATGTATTTTCCTTTAATTAATATTCTATTTTTATGATAAAATAAACAATAGAAAGAAATGTAATAATAATTACATTTAAGTAAATAAAAAATTATTAAAGATATTAAAAAAACTGACTATAAGTGATAAAAATAGAATTTAGTACAGTTATATATAAGTAAGAATATACAAGTATAATAATGAAGTCGAGATTGGATGCTACATTTTATTTTAAAATGGATCACTCTAAAGGGAAAGATTAATTGAACGTTGAATAGAAGTTTCATTTATTTCGTGAATAATAAAAATATACAAGCATAGTTTGAAATATCATGATATTTTATTAAATAGTACTGAGAAATTTTTAAAGTTAATTATTCATCTAGAGAATATTTTTCTTAAACTTGTCAAGTGTTGACGGATCTCGATTCAACAGTTGGCTCTACTTAAAATAAATAATTTTGATTTAATTTTATTTTTCATTTTTTAAAATAATTTTAATAATTAATTTAAAGTACTATTTTTTAAAATAAAAATAATTATTTGATAACTATTTTAAAAGAAAATAATGTAGTTTAACTTTTGAGAAAGACATGAATATTATTATTATTATTATTAAAAATAGAAGATGTATTTTATCAATTTTATTTTTTAGTTTTTAGAAACTAAAAAAAAATCCATTATAAAAAAAGTTTTTCTAAACTAACAAAATTAAAATAATTTATAAATATAATAAATAAACAAATCCTAATTTCAGAAATTAGTATTATATAAATTTGTTACATTTTATAAAAAATTATTAGTTAGTATTGTATATAAAAAATTTAAAACAATAGTTTACTTAACAAAATCATATAAGATAGAAGAAAAATTATTCATTTTAATGTATCAATAAACATTATTTTTTTTAAACACAAACATTACTTAACTTAAAATATGAGATAAAAGAATGATTTTACCATAAATTTAATACAAGAAAATTCATTCTCGCGTGCGCCCATAGACTTCACCTTACGGTGGCAACACGTTTATTCACCATCATATAGCAATTATGAAACATTTCTTGTCTAAAAGATGAATCCAACGTTAATGTTTTAATTCCCTTTTTGTGGATGCTTTTTCCATAACAAACAAGATCCAATTTCTCATAATTTATTCGGCTTAGTGGGTGGGAAGCACAGACCCCACTTTTGCTAATGCCAAAGTCGTAACAGTAATAATAACAAGAATAATAATTTTCTTCTTCATTTACAAGATTTTTCACCACATTAAAATTATAAGTTTCTCTGTAATATTTAGAAAGAATAAAAAGAAAGCAAAATAACCATATACTAATTAGTAAAAACCTTTTCATAGATTTATAATTCATAATTTTTGTTTATAAAACAACGATACTTTTCTTTAATTTCTTTAATTTCTTTAAAATATTTATAAAGAATTGATCGAAAGATACCCTAAATCTAACAATTAACATCAACTAATGGATAGGCAGGCTCCACATAGTTTGACGAAAAGATTAACGTTAGTTTTACGCCTCAAAAATCAAATGGAGTATTTTATATAAAGAAGATTGATGTGCTTTTACGGACGTACAAAGTATCCAAGCGCGTGCTCAACAAAGTTCAAAATCAAATGAACATGGAGTGATATGTGGGGCTTGAAAACCAACATATATTCCATCATTTCATGCTAGGTATGCATCTTCATCTTCGAATCATTGCATGTTCACATAAATTTGCAAATTCAACACCCAAACTTCGTTGAGTGGTGGAAAATGATTTGTGAAAACTCAGTATGTTGAGTTGTGGCTTTTCATCACATTGTGTAGCACATGGAATATTACCTTCTTCCACTCTCAATCTCTACCACTAAATTTACGTGACGAGGCTTACCAACTAGATAATTGGCACCAATATTTTTCCCACACAAATGGAAAAATGTACGACCATGTAGCATTCAAATGCCACAGAGAGGTTGAAATAGTGATGCAGCATAAAAAAGAGACAGATGAGATGTATTAAATATCTCATATGTTTCCTTGAATATTCCACTACCCCTCCCTCTCCCCTGCTTCAATTTCCGATTGCAAAATCAGGGGTGGCCAAAAGTTTGTTGCATAGCTTCACATGAAAAACCAAATGCCCCCGTGAAGGATGCACAGCTAAGCCCAACTCAGACCTAACAACTCCTTGATCTCATGCCCCATTTGTAGCCAAAATAAAGAGAATAAAATAAAATAAAATGAAATGCCATCATGAACGTTTTAAAGATTCTGTTTACATGGAGTACATCGTAAGGGGCAGAACACCACGTCTTTATCGAAAAACACATAGAAATGCATAGGCATTCAGTATCTCTATGCGACAACAAACATATTGCTATGAAATAGTTTATGGGGCAACCTTCCATCTTCCTTTTGCATTATGAAAAGAGTGCGCTTTTTATATTAGCATGACGTCTTCTGTCTGCAAATAATCAATCCTACGTAGTTTCTGGATTGTTTAAATGATTGGCTTGAAACTGTCTTAAAAGCAGAAGGGACTGATGGTAAAGATTGAGATCGATCCCATCAACATTTCTACCAACACGTGCTTGCAAAACTACCTAATATAGAAAAAAGAAACATGCTCAAATCATCTTGTTAAGACCGTTGTGCATTTTTCAGTGAATGTGTATTTACAAAGCATATTATGTGTAAGTAAGTGTGTTAAGAAAACAGGGAGAGGTAAGCCCTTTTTCCAAATCTTGACGAGAGCATACCTCATTATCTGGTTGGATAAAGAGTTCACCAATGAACTGGTAGACAGAGCCAACTTGAAAAGTAAGGTCCCTCAGATGTTCGGTACTAATTTTTAGAGTGCAATCACCATCAATAATTGTTGCTAGTCCTGTCTCTATAAAGAATTCACGTAACCTATGGAAGGCTACATATAAGTTATTGACTGACACTTCACTGTCATCACTCATCACTCGCAAGTGGGAACAACAACCCCAAAAGATATATAATAGAGCATTTTAGTCTGTCATAATAAAAACATGCACCATCTTATACTATACCAGTAGAGCAGTTAGAGACAATTAGATAGGCTTTTAAATATCACGACAACATGTATGAACTGTTTTCAATTAGTAGGAAGTATATTACATGGTTTATTACTCTGTTACCAATTTCAGTTTTGACCTGCTTGTTTCAACTGAAGATAGCTCTCTAAGTGATGCAATTCAAGTCAGTCTTATGTTGATTGTCACGTCAGCGAAAAACAATTGCATGTGACCCTTATCATCAGTTTTTAATGCCTCGTAGACTAAGGACTGAACAAAGTTGACAGCAATCTAACAGGTGAACATAATTGCATCCATTTAAAATCAACAGGTTCCTTTATTGTAATACGATCTAGCGGGACCAAAAAGTTTGGTGAAACTACAAAATCCAGAAATGAAATTGAACCTATATTATATATTAGTAGTACTCTCCAATTATGCAGCCCAATGAAAATAAAAGTCATTTATAAATGCCACTCTAAGAGTGACCCACGAATGCAGAGATGATGCATTCTCACAAAATAGTACTTAGTACAATGCATTATTACAAAGCATTACAACAATGGTAGAATTTAAATAAGCGAATCACAACCAAAAAGTTTGTGTTCAGGTTTCATAACTGAACATCAATATACACGTGATAGTTAACCATCGTCAAGGTCCAAAAGATGTATTTTATTGTAGATTGTGGATATGCTGGGACAGAAAACAGATTAAAATGAATTCCAGAGGAACCATATTCAATTAAAAATAACTTGCAGGGTAATTTTGTTATCTTGTAGTGAATACAAAACAAATGTATCTTATATTGAAACTTGTCTCTCCAATCCAAGTCTACCGGCCAAGATTTGGGGAAACGAGTCAAACTATCTCATACTTGTTTAGCAGCTTTGAATTCGTTAACACTTTGAAATGTATAGAATCTGAGACATAAAATATGCCAACTACCTCCAAGATGGTCAAAATCTTCAGGCAGTTTAGCATAGTCACATAACGTCCATCTATATGATGGGCAGTAAATTTACCATGTCCAAACTGCCATCATTCTATAAATATCAATGTTGCTGTTCCCACTATACACCATGGCACCCATTGCTGCTATGCTCACCCAGCTAGCATGCCATTTACAATTCTTATGGAAACAGTATCACTAATAATACTATCCACGTGACCTTCACTACTAGAAGTCATATAAATGAGCATAACCAGATCTATGGATGAAAAACCTAACATAATGCTGGTTGAATCCCTGAAATGTTTCCGCTCTCAAGTCTCAAATTCACACACCATGGTTGGGAACAAATTTCCAAATTTTAACATTAACTCATTATTTGGCACTGGCTTTGTCACCACTACAACAGTGAAGCATCATTAAAAAAAAGAAGTCAGAAATACATTGATGAAAGCCGGCACTCACTTTCCAGTTACTCTGACCGAAGCTCCTTGCTTAAAAAACGGAGATGATGGGTGAAGGTCTTCTAAAGAAACCAATGTACCAGATTTTATTTCCAAGGACGCCATCAGTCTACTCGACAGCAAGCAAAACTTCTCCTTTTTTACTGCAATTAGGCAAAACATAACATATGCAACAATGATATTTTCCAAGGCACAAATCCATGTTAATGGTAAAGATTCATATTACTAAAGCTTTTGTAGTACATCATCTACCTTGAGACAAGCCTCTAACTCTTAACAGAGTTTCATATGACATCGTCACATAATAATCATAATATATTATAATGAATTGTTTCTTTAACAAATGAAGGATCCTAGTGAAACATTTCAATAGATTCCTAGTCAATGAATTATTCCACATCCCTGGCTATCCAAGTTCCGTTTTCGTATTAGCAATTTTTACATGAGCAATAGACAGAAAGCTCTAATTATTAAATTTTTTTTTATTAGGCATTGTCTTTTTATCAAAACCATATGATAAATAAAGTGTTGAATATAAAGGAAATAGGGTTTGAGATTAATCTCCCTTGTATATAAACTACACATAGGATAATCTATTTATAATAGAGAGAGGTACAACTAAAAGAGTAACCGAAAGTAAACAGAATAAACAAAAGATATTGTTTGATATTGTGGTTAATAATATCTAACAATATCAAATAATATCTAAACAATATTTAACACTCCCCTTCAAGCTGGAGCATACAAATCGTATGTGTCAAATTTGTTACAAATATAATCAATTCTAGGCCCCCGTAAAAACTTAGTAAAAATATCTGCTAACTGATCACTTGAGTTAACAAACTCAATCTTGATGTCTCCAGATATAATCTTTTCTCGAATGAAATGACAGTCAATCTCAATGTGTTTGGTCCTCTCATGAAAGACAGGATTAAAGCTAATATGAAATACACAAGTGTCATTTGAGTGACATCTCCAAATTGTAACTCTCTAAGCAATTGCTTGAGCCAAACAAGTTCACAGGCAACTGAGGCTATAACTCTATATTCTGCTTCTGCACTGGATCTTGCCACAACACTTTGTTTCTTACTTTTCCATGAGATCAAGTTACCACCAATGGAGACACAATATCCAGATGTAAATTTTCTATTCGAAGGAGATCCTGCCCAATTAGCATCTGAGTAACAAACAACTCTTGTATGGTTATTAAAACCATATAACAATCATTTTCCAGGAGATTTTTTAATATACTTCAAGATACGAATGACTGCATTCCAATGATTTTCACATGGAGAAATAAGAAATTGGCTTACCACACTGACTGCAAAGGAAATGACAGGACGAGTAACTGTAAGATAATTTAATTTTCCAACCAATCTTCTATACTGCTTAGGATCAAATATAGACTCCCCCTGATTTGGTAGAAGTTTAGTATTGGGGTGTATCAACAGACTTTGAACTCATCAACCCAGTTTCCTCCAAAATATCCATGACATATTTTCTCTGAGATATAACAATATCATCATTGGACTGTGCCACCTCAATACCCAAGAAATATCTAAGTTTGCCAAGATCTTTGGTCTGAAAATAGTGACAGAGATGTTTCAATTGAAAGATGTTTCAACTGAGAGATGTCATGGTTGTCACTACCTGTAAGAACAATGTCATCAACATATACTATCAAGTAAACGCATACAGCCCTTGAGTGTCGATAGAAGACAGAATGATCTACTTCACACCGAGTCATACCAAATTATTGAACAACCTTACTAAATTTTCCAAACCAGGCCCTAGGAGACTGTTTTAGGCCATATAGGGATTTGCGAAGACGACATACCATCCCAGAAGACTCCCCCTGAGCAACAAACCCAGGAGGTTGCTCCATATAGATTTCTTATTGCAAATCACCATTGAGGAAAACATTTTTAACATCCAGTTGATAAAGAAGTCATTGTTGAAGAGCGATCATGGCGATAAATAAACGAACAGAAGCCATTTTTGCCACGAGGGAAAAGGTATCTCCATAATCCAACCAAAAAATTTGAGTATAACCTTTGGCCACAAGACGAACTTTGAGGCGATCAATAGTACCATCACGTCCAACTTTAATAGCAAACACCCACCTGCAACCAACAACAGATTTCCCAGACGGTAACGGGACTAATTCCCAAGTTCCACTATTACGAAGGGCACTTAGTTTATCTAACATGACCTGACGCCAACCAGGATGGACAAAAGTTTCACGGACAGTTTTTGGAATGGTCACATAAGAAATAGAAGAAAGACATATATAAAAAGGTAATAATAGTCGATGATAACTCAAAGCAATATCATGGGGAGAAGGATTACATGTAGAACAGATACCTTTTCGGAGGACAATGAGAAGGTCAGACTCAGGTGTCAGATCCGAAGGAGACAGAGTAGTTGGCACTTGAGTGGAGTCACATGGTGGTGGTTGTGATTGGTTTCTGCAACTATAAACCTGAAGAGGCGGTGGAGAAGAAACTGACTGTGGAGCAGGAACTAATGGTGAAGAAGACACAATTAAAGACTCACAAACAACAAGAACATTAAATGTACTAGGAGTGTTGACAGGATTGGATGGAGACAGAGGTGAAGATTGACTTTTAAAATAAAGAGAGAACTCATCAAAGGTGACATCTGCAGACACAAAATAACGGTTAAGAGAAGGAGAAAAACATTTGTATCATTTTTGTGATCTTGTAAACCCTAAGAAAACACATTTATGTGATCTAGGAGAAAACTTGTCAAGACCAGAACTGAAATTATGAACAAAACATGTAGACCCAAAAACTCTTAGAGGTAAGAGATGAAGTGATTCATGAGGGAATAAAATGGAATGAGGTATTTTATTATCTAAAACCGAAGAAGACATGTTATTAACGAGATAACATGCAGTAAGAAGAGCATCACCCAAAAAATTTTGAAGAACCTCTCCATGAATTAAAAGAGTGCGAGTTGTTTCAATAAGATGTCTATTTTTACGTTCAACTACACCATTTTGTTGAGGTGCATAAACACAAGAAGTTTGATGTAAAATACCATGAGTAACCATGAATTGTTTAAAAGAATGAGAAAGATATTCACAGTCATTATCATTGTGCAAAACTCTAATTGAACTGGGTTTGAATTTCATTAAAAAAAGTTTGAAATATATGAAATAATTCAGAACGATTTTTCATAAAAAATAACCAAGTGCATCTAGAATAATCATCAATGAAAGTAACAAAGTATTGAAAATCTAAAATAGACTTAATGTGGCTAGGTCTCCAAATGTCAGAGTGAACCACGGTAAAATGGGACAAGGCACCACGTGTGACACTACGAGGAAAGGAAGTACGACTATACTTGCCTAATTGACACGACTCACACGCCAAACTAGACAAGTTAGATAAGGTAGGGACAAACTTCTGTAACTTGGTAAGACTTGGATGACCTAACTGAGCATGAAGAAGAGAGGGAGACTCCATAATTACACCAACATGTGTAAAGGGATGGAGATGATAAAGACCATGAGACTCACATCCTGTGCCAATCATCGGTTTCAAACTCCGGTCCTATAAACACACAAAATTGTTGGTTAAAGAAACAACACAATCAAGAGAACGAGTTAGACGACTGATGGACAACAGGTTAAAAGGAGACCCAGGGGCATAAAAAACATTATCAATGGTTAAAGAAGGAAAAATTTTAACAATTCCAACACCATGAGATGATACTCTAGAGCCATCAGGTAAAGGATTAGGAAATGATAAAAGAGGAGAACAAAGATTTGTTACCAGTAATATGATCAGTGACTCCTAAATAAAAAATCCAAGGACCAGGAGAAGAGGATTGGATCAGACCAGTAAAATATGTACCTGTGTGTGCGACGATTAGTGAAACTAGAAGATTGTTGATCTTTATACCATTTGAAAAATTTGTTGAACATTGTAGATGTGTCATATGTAACAGAAGAGGGAGGATCTCCAACAGACAAAGGTGGGGAAAGATCGGTCTGAACAACTGCAGCAAATCGAGGAGGATGACCATGTAATGCATAACACTTGTTAATCTTGTAACCTAGCTTGCTACAATGTTCACATTTAGGACATCATTTTCCCTGTTTGCGAGGGCGAGTCCGGTCATCATGATGAGATGCCAACGTAAAATAATCATTAACAAAATTAGAAGTAGTAGAAGAAGTGGAAAAAGTCATGAAGGGTGGGAGAACAAACCCTAAAAAAATCCAAAGTAATCCAATCAATTCACGAAGCACAAATCCAAAACGAGAAGAAAAAAACAAGTCCGTCGAGACTAAACGGTGCAAAAGACAACAGACGACCAACTACGATAATGGTGATCTCAATAGCACGATGGTCGCCTGACCAAGACGAGCAAAATTGTATGTTGCCGGTCAAAAATGAAACTTCGATGGTGGCTCGGACGGTGGCGGCAGAGGCGGCGACGACGGTGACAATGGCGTGAACCAGTACACCAGGTAAGTTCCCAGGAAAGAGAGGTGGGTCAGTAATGGACACACTTAAATACCAAATCTTTCCTTGTCAGAACATTCCTAGACATGCACTTTCACATTACCAAATAATATCCAGTAACAAAAATAACTCTTTTCTGGTGTAGAAGATCAGTTTAACCGGCAGTGGCGGCTCTTGAATAAAGGTGAAAAAATTCAAAATAACCTTAAGTTCTAGATACCGTGTTGAATATAAAGGAAATAGGATTTGAGATTAATCTCCCTTGTGTATAAACCGCACATAGGATAATCTATTTATAATAGAAAGAGAGGTACAACTAAAAGAGTAATCGAAAGTAAACAAAATAAACAGAAGATATTGTTTGATATTGTGGTTAACAATATCTTAACAATATCAAACAATATCTAACTTAAAGAAAACCTAGATGGCTTCAGTCGTTCTATAACATTTCATATTTAGGAAATAATTTAATTTAAATTAACCTATAAATTTGGATCGAGATTTATTGATCCATTGTATATCAAAATCATTCTTGCAGTTAACCATGAAAAAACTCTGCATTAAATAACATTTCACACGATGATAATTTTACAGAACTAGCAACTGAAACTAAAGCACACTCATTTTCAGTAAAGGTTCAGATTAATCGAAGTTTGTTTTCTACTCCATCAATTATATTAGGTTTAAATAAGTCATCGAAACTATCATGATTTTTTTTAGTTCCTATATCAAAATCATCTTGCAGCGGTTAACCATGAAAGAACACATTCTTACTGCATGGAATAACATTTCACACGATGATATTTTAACAGAACTAAAGCACACTCATCTTTAGTAAATTTTCAGGTTAATCCAAGTTTGTTTTCTACTCCATCAATTATATCAGGGTTAAATAAGTTATTTGTCCCCGAAAATAACATGATTTTTTTAGTCCATATAAAAATTTATTCAAATTCAGTCCCCAAAAATGTCACAAAATTTGGGCTTGAGAAACTCACCCTTCCACTAACACATTTTCTCTATATCTCCCATGCTTCTCACCATAATTCAAGGCTCCATTTATCAAGTCTCAAATATTCCCATTGTTTCTAATCAACGAAATCTTCTTTTATGTTCCCATGATACAATGACCACTTGATCAGAATCAAGTATGCATATAAAATCTCCTACCAGTCAAATCCATCATCTTCTCCCTCCATATTACAACTTACAGAGCCAAAAGTGACAACCCTGGCTTAAAAGTAGAATTCTCTGAACAATGAGTTATTTCAGTCTCACATAGTGCACTCTCTGTATGGGAATTTTAGACCAATAGAAACAGTGTGAACTAAATAGATTTTCAGCAAGGGCATCAATTAAAGTTCAGGTCGCTACCAATATCTCTTACAACCCAATTTAGTGGCTAAATCCCCAGTTAAACTCCACTCCATTAGACCGAATTTCTTCAAACTATAATGCTTGAAATGCAAACAAGTACATACAGAGGTAAACACTCAACAAGAGAGAGCTTAGAAAGATTAAACATCACAGAGTCAACCCCACAATGATGGATCAAATTTCAAGGAACATTGCAGTTCAAGGATAAGCTTCATTCCTATCACATTTTTACTCCCTAAACTAAATTAGTCACACACGATTCGGAAAATATACCATTGCGTAGTGAAATTTTTGATGTAACAAACATGCATTAACAATAAAACTCACAACGATTCGGTCTTCTTTTGCGCTTTGAAGAAACCAAAGTTTTTAGGAAACAAGAAACAGAACGACGTCAGTGAAAACAAAATAAAATTAAAGGCAACAGAGATTTTGAGAAAGAGAAATTTACAATGGGCTGGGCCATGGCCTGATGAACCGCAGATTCACAAACTGATATTGGCACTCCCTAATTACTATTTAAACCCCTCATCTTAGGCTTTTATTTTATTTCTTTTGATGAAAATACTGCTAATGAGAACAAGTTTATACTAATACTTCCGTTCTAAAGTAGCTGTAATTTTAAATATTTTAAAAAATTATAAAATTATTAGTATTTTCAATGAAGTATTAATTTGTTTTATTTTTAATATATTCTCAAATCAATTATTTTATCTTGCATATCATTGTAAAATTAAAGTAATATGTTAAAAGGGATGTGTAATAAAAATGGATATTATGTTATAATTTTAGAAAGTTAGTGCAATAGAAATACTTTTTGTTGTGTTAATACAAGTATGATTCAAAATACATAACAATTTTTTGTTTGTTGTATTATTTTTTTAAAGGTGATGAAATATTTTTTTATTATGATAATTTTTTGAAAAAAGAAAAGCAGTACAATAAAAACATATTTTTTTTATCTACATTTCTATAATGTTATATTTTTAATTGTGTTCTGGTTATTTTTCCTAATAATTTATATTATTTTACATTGATGTGTATATTAGTTATAATTTAATAATTTGTTTTTTGAATTACATTTTTTATATTGTACTTTATGAGTGTTAAAATTAGCCTGAATTTAGTAATCCAAATTATTTAAGTTAAATCTGTAGCATTTGATAACAATTTTGCAGGGGAATTTTTATTAAAGGTATATAGATATTACACATTCATGATTTTATTTCATACGTAAATTAATTTCACATGATGACATTAATTTCCTATCATTATCAAGTCATTCTTCATAATTGAAAATTGAATTTTTATTACGAATTAAAGCATGCCATGATCGAATAGAAAAATTATATATATATATATATATATATATATATATATATATATATAATTAAAATAAATTTAAATAATGTTATTTGTCGTTAGTATAATAGCGAAGATCTAAATGACTTTTTTTCAAAGGACTTAATCGGTTAAGTTTAATTTTTCAAAAGTTAGGTAGTAAGTTTTCTTTAACAGATAGTTTTTTATTGTCATGGTTCCAAAAACATTTGAAAGATAACAACATTTTCCAATCTAAATTATCATGGTACGAATATAATCGAAAGCAAAAACTTCACATTTCCTGAAAGGTTCTTGAATTTTCATACATAAACTTGACCAAACATTTCCATGCAAATACATTTATTCTTTGCCAATCTTCATGCTTATCCTGTCTTCACAACAAGCGACTCAAAATTGTCGGTGGCCTTATGATTATTTCCAAGATTCATTCCTCCATATCCATATTGTTGAACAACTAGCACAGATGAGCGTGAACCAAAATTGTTTGACGCCAGAATGTCCCCTATAACTCCAAGTTCTAAGCAATCACACCATTCTAGGAAATTTGAGAAAACGTGAGAGTTCCTACAATTCCCTTGTCCAACTATGTATAAATCACAACCTACTTTTTCAAGTTCATTGAGGACTGCAAGAATATCATCACCATTATGAACATCAATCTCTGAGTATGATATTGAATCTTTATTGTTTACCGCTGTGAGTCTAAATGTACTTAAATACTCATCATCTAATTCTCTTTGCTTCTCTGTGTCGACAACTGCAGATAATATCCCTTGTGCTTCAGTGTGAATTGAAGTATCTACTTCTGCAGCTTCATCCAACAAAAGAATTCGAACCACTGATAGTTTGGTTCCTGGATTTCCTGCCATCCTCCATGCAATAGCTAAGGCTTCACGATCATCAGGACCTCCAACAAAGAGCATAAGAATATGAAGGTTCCTTTTGGGAACGGCCCCAAAATCACGATCAACAAATATTCCCACGGAGCAAGAAGCACGTTGCATTACATTTTGGTTTATATCTTTGTACACAACATTGGTTACTTCTAGTGTGCCTTCTGAACTTAAATGTTTATGAAATGGAAGAAGAACTAAGCTTGCGCGTTTCTCTTCTGCTGCGTTGTATATGTCCTCATGAATAGTTGTAAAAGCTGACACCACATTTAAGGTCTGAATTCTGATAGCGTCATATGCCTCTCCAAGTGCCTCGAATGTATTGCCAATGCTTTCTGTCTCTTCCTGTGATCTAGTCAGGTTTTGTCCTCCGGTTTGGCTACTATGCTTCTCTCTATTTGCAGCAGCAACCACGGAAACAGCACGTCCAGTAAATTCCACAAGGCACAAGGCAGAAACATGCACAGGGGAAATTCTTGTTGCATTAAAAGATTCAATTATGTTAATTATGCTAGCTGCTTGGCGAGCATTGTGAACACATGCTATCATTCGGAGCTCTGCATCAACCCTTAGTTTTTGTATAGTCTTTAGCTTGTTCTGTTCAAATCTCTTTCTTGGTTTGTAGACGCCATTGATGACAGGAGACACAACTATAGTCATTAGAATAACAGCAGAAGCCAAGACGGCATAGGTAGGTACATAAAATATCTGCAAAAGCACATTACAAGAAGTTACATAGATTCAATTGCAATCTGTATATGATTTTATCTGGAAAAATAAAGTAATTAAATACAAAATACAGTGTTTTGAATAGATCCATACCGCTCTATCCCAAGCAATGTTTAGCATAATCAATGCCATGGCACCTTTGGTATTCAAAAGCAAGCCCAGGGTCAAACCATCTCGAATACGCATACCAAAGAAGACAGTGGCACATAAAGTGCTTACAATCTTAAGAGCACACAACAAGAGTACAATCAGTAGTGTTAAGGGCCAACTTGGTTGGGCGAAAATTGAGGTCAACATTAGTCTCATCCCAGTTCCAGAAAAGAAAAGAGGCGTTAGAAACCCGCCGACAAAATCATCTGAGATTGACATCACGTAGTCGGCAAATTTTCCATGAGGTAAAATTAATCCATATACAAAAGCCCCAACAATGGAATGCGCACCAAGAAAATCTGTAATACATGAAGAAGCTAAAACCCCCATCATTATAAAGAGTAATTCGTTATCATCCCACTCATCCTTGTCTACCTTGCGATCAAAATACCATTGAATGATTGGACGTACCACAAAGATGCATATAATAATAAATGCTATCGTGCTTAGCACAGTGTAAACAGCTCCTTTACCATTAATTGAAAATGGAAGTAGTAAAGTGAAAAGAATCCAACCATAGGTATCACTGATCATAGCTGTTGTTAACGCCGCTTTGCCAAGACCAGTATAAAGGAGCTTAAGCTCCGCAAGAGTGTGAGCTACGACAGGAAAACCTGTAACAGTGAGAATTACAGTCCAAATTATATAAGCATTATTAGTACTGTCCTCAAGGGGAAGCGTTCCATGAGTTCCATAAAATTTTCGAAACAAAGCATATAATCCTGGTGCAATCACTACGGGAAAGACGATCCCAGCAATTGCGATGTATGCAGCCTTCTTTTTCACGTGTAAAATGGAATTTAAGTTCATCTCCAATCCACTAAGGAATGCGTAATAAATTAGACCAATGTGGGCAAGAAGCTCAACATTGAGGACCCCAGTTACAGGAAAAATGAACTCAAAAACTTTCGTGTATCTTCCAAGTAATGGTGGAGTTAGTAGGAGACCAACCTATTATAGGTAAATTTAGAAAGGCCACACATTAATTATATTATCAGAATGACATATCAGAAACTTTGAAATAATTTATCAGAAACAAAAGAACTTATAGATTACACTTACAGCGATTTGTGAAATAAGACGGGTTTGATGGAGAGGTTTGAAGATTGCGAAGAAAACACGAGATATCACAACAGTAAATGCAATTTGAAAGGCGAGAACAGGGAGCTCTGTTTTTAGAACTCTATCAGTTTGCCAAAACTGATTAGGATTAACGATAGATACCTCGTAACATGCAGGTACTGTATTTGCCATGATTCTTCTGATATATTGTATCTGATATATGACTTTCAATTTTCTTCTATCGCAGTTTATTATTTCTCCTTTATAAACTTTTTTTTTTGTGACTAACAAAATCTAAAATTAAAATGTATTATTTGTATGTTTGATAATAGACCATCCAAATATAGGATAACAAAATTCCACCTATACATATCTATTTATGGTGGCTTAGTGGTTATATATCTTTCCCATTATCTAAAGGAGCATGCAAGAATTAGCTTTTTCAAATCAGAAAACAGACTTAGGCTTATCTATCCTACCAATTTTAGTCCATTTAAGTTATTAGTTAAATTGATCTATAAAAAGTTAACTTGATTAAATTTAAGTTACATTTTTTAATGTAACTTGTTTAATTTTGTATATATTTTAAGCCAACTCATTGCCCCAATCCTATTTTTATTCCTGTAGTGATTTCAAGTAATATTTCTTTCCTTTTATTCGTACACGGTTACAAATTTGTTTAAAAATTAGCACATAGTTTATGGAAGCTAGAGGAACAGTTTAGAACCAAAAGCAGAAGATTATTTAGCTAAGAGAAACGTTGCTTTGAATGAGATGGTTTGGAAATGAAAGAAACAAAAAATAAATACTGCGTTGAGAATTGATATGCAAGGAACTTCTTTTTCAAACAATGTAATAATTAATAAAATTGTGACCAATGATCCGTTTCATGCTCTCACTAGAAAAGTAAAAAAAAAATTATTTTCTTCTTTTTCTTTCAATAACTCAATACAATATTTTTCAATGTTGGCATTATTATATTCCTTATTTCTCAACTGCCCAAAATGTTTTGCACAGGTAGGGCTGAATTTTTTTGGAGAGCATATAAATACACACACGCCAAACATTAATCCATCATTAGTAATTAGAATCTTTAATGTCTGAATACGTTCAAATGCACTTGTAAATTTCACATTATTTATAAATAAGTCAAATTAAAGATAATTTATATATATATATATATATATATATTGAAATTCTTATAAAATTATATATATATAATATTTCTAATTATATTTTATTATATTATTAGATATCTTACTGTTTATTTGTTATTTTTTCTTCAAAATAAACAAAACTTATCCAAAGAACACTCAATTTAATTAAATTTAAATTTTAGCGGGCTTGAACAATTTTTGTACCCATCATATAGAGCCCATGAAAGCTGACCAACACGGACTTGTTTGGTTCGATATTCATTTGTGGACGTTTCGTTGTCGTGGTTCCTATAAACTTTCGTTCATTCATCAGATCCATGAGATGGATTTCGGAGAGTAGAAAATGAGGATAAAAAGTAGTAAAAAGTTATTTGAATTAAGGAGAAAATGATGAGAAATAAGAAGAAAATTTATGAATGACGTGGTATAAATTATGTTAAAATGAAATGTGACTCTTAACCACAATAGAGACACTCAATCATAACCACCACTTTCAACATTATTATTATCTTGTGAAGTTTAAAATTTACAAATATATGATGAAGTTTAAAATTTACAAATAGATAAAAAGAATGAATTAAGAAATGAGATATCTTATAGTTATAAAGAATAAATATATTAAATCGAGAAAGATATATTATGGAATTAAAAAAGTAATCGGTATGAGTTTTTGAAAAAAGTTAGAACATAAAAAAATGAGAATTAAGGAATTAAAGAGTGAAAAATATCAAATATCGAAGAAACAAAATATTCGAGAGGAAGTTATATTGAAGGATTTTCGAGTGGTGTATCGAGAGACGTATGAAGATGATTATAATACAGTTTTTTGTATGTGCATTTACAAGTAAACATGTATCAACAAAGTGGAGTGAAGAGAAACAGGTTACAAATAAATAACCGTTCGAAAACTATAATTTATAGTTTTATTTTATATTTCTATTATTATTTTTATTTTTATGACACCTTGGTCATTACAAAAATAATATATAGGATAAAATAAAGGTAATCAAGAGTGATTGTCAAATTGTACGAAGATATTCGAAAAATGCTACGAACACAGAACAAACATTTCTAGTAGAGTTTTTTGCAATTCGGATAATCACTTTTGTTGATTTCTTTTATCAATTTATGTTTTATCCTTAGTAATGAGTTAGATTTATTTTCTCGCACATTTACTTTTAAATAATTTACTTTTACCATTTTTTACTATTCTTGCAATTTACTTTAAATGTTTCATGTTGTATTAAATATAAAAATTGAATACAAATGATCTTTAATTGAAATCTATTGTGTACTAAATTTTGAATAAAATTAAGGACTCACATAGTATTTAAGTAATTCATTGCATAAACTTATTGATTATATTGAACAACAAATTATTTACACTAGAAACAAATTGACACACTCAATGAGACCATCTACCTATATATAATGCATGATATTGAGAAGTGGTAGAATTATAATGACAAATAAAAACACACAAACTTTAGTACCGAATGCTGCGGTAATACCTAGTGCTATAATAAATACTAATGAAAGTCAAAATGTGGGACTTGAGAGTGAAATTGTCCAGGGTGTACATAGTAATCCTAATGTTGGTAGCCAAAGTGGTCAAGAAATGATTCAACCAATAAATAACACGAGAGCAATACTAGTATAGGACCACATATGACTAGTGGGAACACGTCAGTCCAAAGAAATAATCAGGGAATTCTAATGCCGGAAAGGTATCCTTGGGGAATGTTATTATGACAACCAACCCCAAATTCTAGTAGGATGAATGATTGGAGTCAGAGATTGGCAAATGATAGGGGGAATAATAGAAATCAAGGTGACTTCGATAACATAAACATTGGGACATCAAAACAAATGACAATTATTTTAAATTCGTTAGTACAAACAATTGCTGATAGTTTTCAGAGGCTAGTAGAGCAAATGACAAGGATAAGAAATGATCTTATTATCCTAAGGAGGAATAATATAATAAATGATAATATGCTAACAAGAAATAATCAGCAAACTGAACCCCTTGAAGAACAAGACAATAATAATCGAAATATGCGAGGAAACAATTATAATCTGTAGAGGGATGTTAGGATGGTCAATAGAGATCAAGATGCGGATCAGAATCTACATGATTGAGATAATGTAAGAAGGAGTAATCATAATAATAAGAATTATCAACAAAATGCCTATAATCAAGTAATTAGGCATTAGAATCATCCGAATAAGGGAAATGATTATATAATCAGCCGAATGAGGGAATATGATTATATAATCAGCTGGATGAGAGAATATGATTATATAATCAGCCATACTTCATTTCACCATTTCCTGATTTTGTGTTAGAGGTTGAGTTGCCTTGAGGGTAGAAAATCCCAAAATTTACAAAATTTGTAGGTGATATTAGGGATTCTGCCATCAAACATATAACTAGGTATCAAATTGAGTGTGAGAATTTACTAACGAGTGAGAGTTTAATAATGAAATACTTTTAAGGTTCTTTAATAAATAATGCTTTTTAGAGGAGAAACTCAAGTTAGATTGATTGATCTAATGAATGTGAAAAGATATCATAATGAAAATATAGATGATTACTTAAATAGATTTAGACAAATGCAATTAAGATGTTTTACATAAATCCTTGAAAGAGAGGTAGTGAGAATGACAGCAACAGGGTTAGAGTTTTCGATAAGGAAGAAGTTAGTAAATACACATTTGAGAGATATGACTTAGTTAGTAGATAAAATTTGGAGGATTGAATATATTAGATAGAAAAAAGAGAGATATAATAAATTTGGTAAGGTGGTGAAGAAGGATAATATTGGATATGTTGAGGTAGATAAGTTTAAAGAATCGCTAGATATTTTAGAGGAAACAGAGGATGAATAACTAAGTGAAAACAATGAGAAAATAAATGTCGCTAAAATTAAAATTGGTTTACCTTATGTTTGTAAATTGTTGCAAAAAAGTGAAGTTTATGACAAAATGACAAATCGAACTTATAATTTTGATGTGATTCAAGCAAATAAGATTTTTGATATATTATTAAAAGACAAACAAATAAAATTGAACGATGATCATAAATTGTCTTCTTTATATCAGATAAGAGGGCAAAAATATTGTAAGTTTCATAATATATATGGATATTGGGCTAATAATTATATACATTTCAGGAACACGATATAAGATACTATAGAATAAGGTCAATTGAAATTCAAGGAGAAGCCAATGAAGGTGGATACCGATCCTTTCAAGGCTCATGTGGGATATGTGGAAGTTAAACTTAACACTACTAATGGTGTTGAGAATCTAGTGAGTGATCTAAGAATTCATATGGTGGACATTAGTTTAGAAGATATCAATGCACGTCAAGTTAAATTAGATGATGGTGAGGTAGATTTTGAATTGGAATTGGAAGATTTTTAAATAGAGAATGAGATTTATCCTAAGATAGAGGATACATTGGTTGATTTTTTTAATCGAAAGAAAGAAAGATATGAAGAAGTGACATTACGTCTGAGGTAGTGCAGTATTCGATAAAGTTGTGACTAAAAAGCTCAAAGTGAATAAGAAAACAAAGAGTAATGAGAAACAGAAGCAAAGTGTAGAGTGTCAGGATCAAAATTTGCAGGTTTCATTGAGGGATGACACTGAACAATATGTGCATTATGAATCATATCCAAGGATGAGCAAAGAATGGTGGATTGGATAAAGAATGTTTAGTCGTCGAAATACATATGACTTAAGGAATAAAAATTTCTTTGACAGATTATCCTATAGTCCCGATTTTTACACTGGATACCCTAAATTTTTAAGAGGATTTCATCATGGGGGCCATTGGATGAGGGGAAACATGGCACAACCCTTTTAGAAAAAGGTATCGAAAGGGAGACCAATGGATCAAGGAGGATCAAGTCGGAGTGGTCAAGTGTATACAAGCACTTTGATTAACAAAGGAGAGAGTTTAAGTGCAAATCTTAGACAAGGAAATGTGAATGTACGAATGATTTTGATTTTGCCAAACGAATACGC